AGAAATATATATATATATATATATATATATATATATATATATGTGTAACTTACTATATTTAATTGTTGTAGAAGTTTTCATAAAATTCAGTTTCCATTTTGTAAGTGCGACTTTGTTTTTTTTCCCCAGTCTTAATTACTGTAATTTAAACAGCACAATTTTACTGTGCCTTGTTATGGTGACATCATCAAATTCCATGGTCATGTGGTGATAAATATATTTCCTAAAGGCTCTTTGTCCTTTTACCTGTGGCTAAGCCTTATAGCCAGCCTGTAAGAAATTCTCATTTCAGGGGCCCCGTCTGACCCAAACAATTTACAGCTCCTTTTGCCGCCAGCTTGTCAACAGGGTGCTAAAAACACCGGGTTTGAGAGCTTGCAGCTTGTTTGAGCACACTGCCCAGCACCTGAGCTACTAGAGGAGCTGCAGAGAGAGGAAAGGCAGGGAAAGAAAGTAATCAGAAGGTGAGAGCATTTATTACCACTGGCTTTTAACTGACTCTCCACTGGCAGAGTCCCAAAATTGAAGCCATTTTTCTCATGCGCTTTCTCCCATTCTTGATTAAGACAGGCAATATGTCTCAAACCCCGCTGTCCTGAACTTCTGACAAATAGTATCTTTTCTTCTTCTCCTGAGATGAAGCCATTAAAGCATCTGACCATCTTATCTCTGTCTGCGCTAAGCTGTCAGCGATCGGTGTGTGTGGAAATCTCTCAAGCTGAAATTAATGGGATCTGTTTGGCTCTGGCGGATTCCTAAAAAAAACTAAATATTAAAGGGGGGGTCATATGGAGAATTTCTTTTGAATTTAATTTAATTTTTCTGTACTATTTCAATGGAAAACATTAATAGTACTGTATGTAACATGCAGAGAATTTAATTGATAAATATAGTGTTTATATACAAAAATGGGTGTGATAAAACTTGGTTAGCTAGAAAACCCGAAGCTGGTTTTCTTGATTCTGAGCACAGTGCATACATAAAAAAAAATGAAGCCTCGACCCTTGTTTACAACGAAAAGGTCATGAATTGCTATTAAAAGGATGGCAATAACTATTTGCCTTTGTTCATCTTTTTTAAAGGCCTATAAAATAGACAGTATTTTTTACAGCCCTCCCAATGACTTTAAAACCTCTATTAAACCAACAAGGAGAAAGAAAGATTGATCGTCTTCTGTCCACTGCCTTGCCACATTGTTTTATGTGTTACTTTATTTTTTGCACTATTTAAAATTTTACAAGCAATGTCTTGTGGCTTTGCTGCTGAAGCAGTGCGCTGTAAGGAAACCATGTTAAATTATACAGCAGTATGATTTGTGTCGGTTCGTGTTGCTCTTGTTTTAGCACTTCTTCCATGCACAGGAACCTTGAATTCAGGTGCAATTCTTTGAATTGGCCCTCAAGTGCACTAACTTATTTTTTTCCAGCAGTCTATTTTTAAAAAAGGTAAGCTGTGTCACTGGTTGCAAGGCTAGACTGCAGTTTTTCTGCTGTGCTTGTCCTTTTCCTTGGGAGATGGTGGTCGGCCTGTGAAAATTTCTCTCTAAGTTGCAGAACTCGGGGGGGGGACACACACCTTCAGGAGGCCATTAATTGAGTTTTTTCCTCACTAGGTCAGCTGGCACAGTCCTGAGAGCAGCCGAGTCCTGGCAGTGTTCATGTCTCCTGAGCTCATCAGTAAAACAGGCTACTGCTGTATGCCAACCGGAATGTCAAATCAGCATTCCTTCCACGCCGGCACATTTTCATAGTCTTAAGAGATTACATGGACGGCTGGCTTTCACTTTGGTTTGCGGGAGTGGATCTTTCCAATGTAATTAATGAAATCACTGCAAAAGTTTTCGTTTAAATGGGTAGTTCTCGCAGGTCAGCGCCCTGAGGGCTTGTGTTTCTGCCCTCTGTAATGGGGGGTAATTGGGCCTTAGATGTGCGCAAGGAAGATATCATTATTCTCTCCATCCTCACATTCTTTTAATTGGCCAGAGTCAATTATGTCTTCAATTGTGTCTTCAAAACTATATAATGCTATGGGTGCTCCAACTAATTTACTGTTGTTTACTTTATTCCTGTTTCATTATAGCTGCTATGTTGTTCAGAAACTAACAAGATGATAATCAGGCCTGTGTCATACACCTCACGTCTGATGCAATTGGTGCATATTTGTAAACTCATATTGACAGGATGCAGAATTCACTCTGCGTGCACCTGTTTCTGAAAAAGACGTATGACTGAATCCAGATGACTTAAGCAGTTTTGCATAAAGTTGAGTATTTCTAAATGTTTTGATGCTCTCACATCTTGTTCTGCGCTACTGTCAATCCCACAATTAATTGAAAATGCTTGTTTACTTAATTATAAAGTAATATATGTAAAATGTAAATACGTAAATGTTGTAATATTTGGATGGATAGATAGACAGACAGACAGACATTTTTGGCATTAATGAGAGGATCGTCCAGAATCTGTGTAAATGAAATTGATTAAAGGCCAATATTTTCCTTTTTTCCTTGAAGCGTTGAAGCGTTGGAGTGTTTTAGCACTCGACCCAGTTCGAGCTCCCTTCTCGGCAGGATTCAGTCTTGGCACTCTGCACTGTATCAACACTCTGTGTGTTTCCTCAACCTTGAGGCTGGAACGCCAGAGGGCCAGCGCAAACAAACTGATACACTTGTGCCAAAAACAAGCCTTTCAAGCTAAAGGGAAGGTTGTGAGGCTGCTGGTGTTTTACTAACACACCGCCCCAAATTCCGGAGCCCTTGAAATGGCACTCATGACTTAACTTCATTAGTGGGTTTAGATTTAATTACACCTCATTAGGCCTCTTTTTTAGCAGCTTACAAATATTTAATCAATTTCGAGGTGTTGCGTAGCAAGGGTTTTGTAGAAAGGATGTGAAATACTCCCGGGCGTGGTTTAGATTTGTATTAGGGAACTGTAGTGCCTAGAGCTGCTGTCAGTTTCTGTGCAAGCTTTTTAATCTACGATGTAGGGCAAGGGAAGCAGATGTTGGATGTCTCTTCAGTTTAAAAGTCAATGTGAATTGCCATTTTTCTTTCACTCCCTATTTAAGAGTGTATATGTATGTATGTAAATCAAAACTTTTCTGTTGATATATATATATATATATATATATATATATATATATATATATATATATATATATATATATATACG